AAAGTAAGAGAGCCCAGGCAAATGTGTTTGGAGGAAATTCTGGTAGAGGTGACTCCTCTTAGTTTCCCCAAGGACTAAATAGTCTTGAATAGTTTAAGATTTCCATTGGAAGGAGAAAAACAGTGTTTTGCCAGAAGATGGCACTCTTTTCAAACAAATTTAGGAGTTGGTAGAGCCTCAGTTGATAAAGATCTCAGAGTGCAGAGAAGGACTAGGTAGTGAAAGACTACAAGGGGTGAACAATGGTCAATGGAGCAAATGGGATTTAACATTGAGCATTTATTGATGATTCTTGTGATTTTCTTTACCATTTAGCCATGCCGTCTGATATGATCTGAATGTTTGTGTTCCCCCCAAATTTGTATGTTGAAGTTCTACCCCCAAAGTTGATGGTATTAAAAGGTGGGGTCTTTGGGAGATGATAAATTAATGAGGTTGGAGCCTTCATGAACGGGATCAGTGCTATTATAAAAGAGACCCCACAGAGATCCCTTGCCCCTTCCACCATGTGAGGATACAGCTTAGAAGTCTATGAATCAGAAAGCAGGCCCTTACCAGACACCAAATCCGCTGACACTTGGACTGTAAAAAATAAATTTCTGCTGTTTACCAACCACCCAGTTTATGGCATTTTGTTATAACACCCTGAATGGACTAAGACACCATTTCATTATTTTTTATTTCCTTTCGCTGCCCTATGCAGTGTCTTACTGACTTGCTACGCAGTGACATTTATGGAGGCTTGAGGACAGATCCTAGAAACTTCTCCTTAAATCTCATGTCTTTCTGGAAACTTCCCCTGCATTCATAGTTTCTTATATTTTTCTGTTACAGCACTGGCCAGAGCCACAATGTGCTGCTTGGCACCTTCAGTAGACTATGTGCTCCATGAGGTGGGCTTTCTGTCTCATTCACTGCTGAATTCCAACATGGTGCCTTACCAGCACATAGTAGGTGCTCAATAAGTATGTGTTGAATGATTGTCAAAATACAAGGCAATAACTACTCACAAAATTTTAAAAAGTACCTTATTTCTGTTTCTATTCTAAAAAGTCTATGGATAATACCTAATACTTAGAGAGTTTGCTATGCTAAGCCCTTACCTCTATTACCTCACTTTCCCCATCAACTCTATAAGACAGGTACTCTGAGTCACAGAGTAAATGACGTAAGGTTCAGTGGTGCCGTATTCACTTGGGTGGTATCAACCCATCAAAGTTCTCATCGTATTGCTCTGTGGACCTTTAAGCAACCCATTTCCCTTCTCTTTTTCTTGCTCCCACCACACCACCCAAGCATACACCCACACCACTACACTCTACCACCATTTCACCTATGGATCTCAGTGGTTCTTGGAAAATATCTGAGGCCGGTCAATAGGAAAACTTGTTCCCACTGAGGCGTGGCTATAAAGGAGTGTAAATAAATAATAGTCTTATATGGGTCATACATGCATTGAGTGGAGTCTTGCTTGAGGGGTCTGTGACTCACCTTGAAGGACTTCCAAGTTCCCTCAAGCCAACTTTTTCATGAACCCCCAAAGCTGCCTTTAGATACTTGGCTCCAGGCTACTAAGACAACTAGTTCACACCACCTGTCACTTTGAGACCTGCCTTCGAATTCTGAAGGGAATAGCTTTGGTCAAAGAAGGGAACCAAGCCCCGAGCTCTGATAGAGGAAAGAGAATTGTTACTTGTTACCCAATACCTTAGTTTCCATCTTTTTTTCTCCAATATTTCCAGGCTAAGGGACATGCCTTGCATTTTTATCACAACCTTGGTGTAAAGTGGTCAGTATAGTTTTTAAAAAATTAATTTATTCAATGTTGATGTCCTGCTTACTGGAATTATATCATAGTCAGCAGAGATTAAATGCTGACAAAAGAGCAGTGATTTCTATCTCATAGTGAGTATGTGGTGTTTCCAATAAAGTTTGGCACTGCTCTTGTCAATCATGATATTCACATTGCAGGAGATAAGCATTGCTTTAGGGTGGACTGGGGGAAGGGTTACTTCTTGAGGGAGATTTCTGTTCTAAGAGAGCTTTTTTCTGTCTTTCCTCTCTTCGTGTGTGTGTGTGTGTGTGTGTGTGTGTTTGCCCTTTACCAGGTCTTTCTTACCTGCTCCAGGTAGTTTTTAAAAACGGTTGCTGGTGTTGGTACTCATTTCTCAGAAAATCAAAAGTATCCAAAAAGAATTTGTCGTTTACATGATATAATACCAAACCTTGCATTTATTTATCATAGACTTGAGAACAATTTGAACATGTGAGCAGAGCCTTCATATGGGTCTTGACTGGTTACCAATCTTTAAAAGGAATTTGAATATAAATACTCGTCTTAGGGGCAGAAACTCCCCAGGTCAGCCACTGTCCCCAATACCCCTTAATATCACATGCCTGCTTCTCATTTTTGGCCTCCTGACTACTGAAGACATTAGATTTTGGACTTATGCTTATAAATGCACATTCCCCCCTCACTTTGATCTTTCTATTATTAACATGTAGAGAGGGCTCCTTCATTGAGACAGAGGTTGAAATATTTCCAGAATTACTTCCAAATCTGATTTTTTTTTCTCCCACATAAATAATAGTGCAGAAATACAACATTCTAAAGCAGTTCCCTTACCTAACCGGGACAGGTTCACTGAGATAGCTCCGTGCTCTCTGTAAAACCCAAAGCTCAAGTCCACAACGTCTTTTATGTGACAAAGGGCAACTTTATATTCACGGGAAAGTGGATACTGTGGATGGCCCTTCCTGGGTTCCCCAGCTGCTGGGAATGCAGGCTGATCTCAGATCACAGCTGCAGTTTCTCACCCAAGGTAACACCCTCTCCCAGAGGGACGCTAATGAAGGGTACAGAGGCCAGACCCCTTTTCCTCAATGGAAGATGATTCTGAAGGGCTTTCTCAGCTCTCCCTCAGGATCTGCTGAGGCCTCAGTTGCAACTGACGTCAACTCCTTCCCGATCCAGCTTTCCTCACCCCTGCAGTTGTCTTTACTGAGAGCTGTCCCCAATAAACTTTCTGTCCTGACTCATCTCAGAATCTGTTTCCAGGAAACCCAACCTAAGGCAAAAGAGTGAACCAAGATAGAAAAGGCAGTGACCTGCTTTGCCCCTGCCGTACTGACAAACAAACATATGAGATGTGATCAAAACATACTGTGAATGTTTCCATTTTAAAAAATTATTACAGTAAAATACACATTGCCATTAATCCCCCTCAAAACAGCCCCCCCTTCACTTCAAATACCCTTATCCCATTGTTTTTGCCACTTTCTGAAGCAGTTCTGACAGTCCTCTTTTGTGTTTTAGTTGTGCTGTCGTGACTGCCTCGATGTCCTGAATCGATTCAAAACATTTACCTCATGGTCATTTTGACTTTGGGGAAGAGCCAGAAGTCACACGGTGCCAGATCTGGTGAATAAGGTGGATGAGGACACACCATAAAGTTTTTGACTGAAATTGCCGTATGAGAAGCAATGTGACATGGAGTGTTGTCATGATGGAGAACAAAACTGTTTGCCCATTTCATGTTAATGTGTTGTTTGTGATCCATGATTTATAGTACACTTTAAAACATACCTTCTCTCAACTGTAGCTCATATCTGGCTAACTGCACCGAACAAGTTGAAACTTGTCACACACTGTTACTAAGGTTTGATGAACCACTTCCTGTATTGAAGATCCCTGCCTTTCCATTGGATGGCACTCAGCAGAGGCATTCACTGTATTTTCTGATCACAATGGAAAGGCTCCTTGTCACACATCGCTTCTGGTATGGCAATTTCTGTCAAATAAAAACATTACGGGGGCCGGCCAAGTGGCGCGTTCGTTAAGAGCTGGCTTGGGACACCAGCTCTGTGCAGCAGGGCTCAGGTTTGGATCCCACATAAGGGCCAGTGACACTGCCCTCTACAGCAAAGATGGTGAACAACAGCTCAACCTGGAGCTGGGCTGCTGTGAGTCACCAGCGACGGTGTAGGCTGCAGCCCCTGCTGCAGTGGGTTGCCATGGGATACCGTGTGTGGCTGGCAGCCAGCGTGAGCGGCCAGCAGCTGGTGTGAGCTGCGAAGAGCCGCCGTGAGCAGCTGTTCAGAGGCCGGAGACCGATCTGCCTCACCTGGGAAGAGCACAATGATAATACCAACATGGGCCAGTGAAGCGACGTCCTCCACAACTAAACTGAAGAACAAAAGGACAGCAACTTGTCTATTCCCCTTCCCCAGATTCCGCAGCACTGTTCCCCTCCCTTAATTCCCCAATAAAATATTTAAATGAAAAACATGACAGTGTGTCCTCGTCCACCTTATTCACTGGATCTGGCACCATGCGACTTCTGGCTCTTCCCCAAAGTAAAAATTACCATGAAAGGTAAACATTTTGAGTTGATTCAGGACATCGAGGCAGCCATGACAGTGCAACTAAAGACACTCATGAAAGAGGACTTCCAGAACTGCTTCAGAAAGTGGCAAGAATGATGGGGTAAGGATGTTCAAAGTGAGGAGGGGTATTTTGAGGAGGATTAATGACAATGTGTCCTTCAATGTAATAATTTTTTTTAATTTAAACATTCACCATATTGTTTGATCACACCTCATAGACAGAGTGCTGGCAACAAATGCATAAATCACATAATGCTACCATGAAAGAATCCTTAGATGCTATCAAGTGTAACCCACCCTTTTCCAGATGGGGAGACTGAGGCAGAGAACCAAAGTGATTTGCTCAAGGTATTATAAGCTAATTAGGTGAAAAAGCTTTGCTCAGACTCCACACTGACTGTAGCCCCAGCAGACAATATTGGAGCACTTAATCAGCTCCCAGGGAACCCTGATGAAACATGAGTCAAACCGAACTATGAGAATTTGGAATCAATACAAAATGGCTTTTTAAGCCCATCATCCATTGACAATGCCTCATTGTGACCTCCTACTATAAGAAGCCATTTAACCTGGGGACTATCAACTAAATAGAGGAGCCACATGTGAGTCGGGAGTGGTAGTGGACTTTATTAATAAACAAAACTACCATACAGGCAAAATCGTACTTCAATAGCAAAACACGCACATATGCATACTCCCACGTGTAGCACTGGGGCACATTTTAGACAGAACATTAGGCATCAAGTTCACAAACTAAATGTAGTTGACAATCCTTTGATATTTTTTTCCTTGGTGTACTATAAGTCCTTATTTAACAATTGTGACAAAAAGGTTAACTCTTAAAATATAACTCTCGATCTTACTATGGAGTGAGGCCAGTTCAGCCTCCAGAACTGTGAAGCCTGGATGCCTTAACAGGGCCATGCTCTACCACCTGCTTAAAACTGACTAGTTTCTCTGGGTTGGAAAAAAGACCTTTGGTATCTTGGTGTTGAACGATCTCCTATATGGTGGGAGTTCTCAGCTCCGATTTCATGTCCATGCACATCTGGACTGGCATTCATTTTGATATTCAATCTGTAGCTTAATAGGGCTGATCTAATTAGGATAAATTAATTGGTTTTCTAAAAAGTTTGAGGGTAGACCACATACTCAGTTTGTCAACATTCAAGACTTGGATATATTAACCACCTGATTACTATTAAAACTGTTGCCAGTTCAGAAGTTTTCCCCAAAAGGTGTGTCAGAACTGAGTTCATCAGTAGGTGAACAGGAACAACTGAAATAAATCAGGGATGTGATTTATCAAAGCAGTTTGGAATAATATGTGATAACTCCTCATGTACTGGAGCATATCCAAGACATTGCCAAAGTCCTAAGTTAGCTAAAACAATTTTCAATTGAAAAGTAAAGAGTGCCAGAAAAATCCTGCTCTTTGCTCTTAAGATAGGCAAAACAAATACCTAAGTCCTCACACCAGGGCCATGACTTAATTTTGGGTTTATGATAAGGTTAATTATGTAATAAACTTGGGTTGGTTTCCTCTGGCAATCTTTAATGCCCATTCAATAAAAAATGGATTAGTTTATCACTTTGTGAGGTGTGTAAATGTCTAATCACTATGTTGTTTTATACACCTGAAACTAATAAAAATATATAAATATAAATTAGGTTCAGGGGTTTTAGGAGATAACCAGAAGACAAAATAAAATACTGAATATGAGAGAAGATAGAAGGAGCAGTAGACTCAACAGCTACAAAACAATCATGTGACATTTTGTAGAGGGGCAAACACAATGGTATCACTCTATTATAAAAGTATAATTGAGGCACATAATGATTGACCTGATTAATAAAAAAAGATTAATTTGCATTTTAGCTTGCTTAATAATGTACATTAAAATTTTTATTGATAATTCATGGCACATAAGAGTAAGCTTCAGCTATCTAGACACTTCATTTAAAATGAAATGCTCATTCAATGATGTGGGATAGGGTATTACTGTGTATCTACCACCTGTGTACCTGAGTCCACTGAATCTTCTCAACTGCTTTCTTTGATCACATCTGTGTTGATATTTTCCCACATATTTATACTAAGAAAAGAAGTGTTTTATGGCTGAAACCTTTGGAAGGGGCTTTAAAAAACTGACAGTTTTTAAAATGGGAAAGAAAAGAGGTAGACACTGTTCCTGGCCCACATTACTCCTTAGAGAACTTAGTTTTCATATGTGAAATCACTCAATTTTTTTTTATAAAACTTAATAAAGTAAATGAATTTATAATGTAGAGCCCTAATTTCCTTTCTGTATTTGATAGTTTCAACAAATAACAATATGACATTTATAATGCGTATTTCAGTTATTTGAGAGAAACTGGCATGCTAATATTTACTCAAAGGTAGCTGTGTTGAAGATACATTTAAGTTAACAGATATGCCTCATTCTACTATGGTCATAGGAAAATTATATATATATATATAATAGGGGCCTTCAAAGAGCCAGGGTCTACCTGGAAAAAAAAGGAAAATACTGCTTTCGTGAAATCTGTAGAGAATGTTATCGATGATGATGAGTAAAGTGATATCTAGCCATCCTCCAGGAGGAAGAGAAGATGTCTCATGCAGAGCTAGTCAGGGACGCCTCCTGGACACAGTCCTGCCACTAGTTTACTCTGCTCACCTGGGGAGCTGCACAAAAGTTGCAGCAAGTAAATTTAATCATTTATGCTTTGGTTAACACTGTAATCTGAAGCAAAAGGGGAAAATATACAAAGAAGCTAATGCTATGACTAGGTGTCTAGAAACTTCACAGGAATTAGAAGTGGTCAGGAGATTCCTGAGGCAACAGCCCACAAAATGTCTCCCTCCTGGTCTGCTTCCACTGCTTTCATGTACTACACCATCATCCAAAGTGACAGCTGCTCACGCCGGAAGCTGTGAGCCTGTGGGCTCCGGACCTACACTTCACTATTTCCTAAGGACTGAAAAGGTCAGTTACAGGCTGGGCCTTCACCTACTCAACCTCTACAGAAAGTTAAATGCTTCATTTCTGCACTCATCAGGCATTTTATGTTAAAGGGGAGAAAAAGAGGACACAGACATTGTTTCCGATGAGCACTTTAACTTGAAATTAAGAAATTGATCACAAGGCTTGTTTTTTTTTTTTTATCCATCCAGACAAATCAGTCTACACAGACAAATAAGATGGAGCTTGATCTTACTGATTTTAATGAGGTGATTCTGCAAGTTGTTTTTACGTTAACACTAGGACTAAACTGAGGGGTTACATCCAATGCACTTAAAGATGGTCTAGTAACATTGCCATTAAATTAACTTGTCAACATTTCACTTCTGATGGTACTGGAAAAGAGTAAGCAGAAAGTATGAGCCTGACACTTCAGGATCGTGTCAGCAGCCTAAATTTGTACACCAGAAAACACAAGGCAGTTACTGATGTGGAAAATCCAACAATCTTCAGGAGGCCTGGCACCGAAGGCAGGTTCCTCTCCCAGAAGGTGTGGGTGATTTCAACAGCTGGAACGTCCTAGGTGAATAAACAGAGATCATTAGCAGAAACCTCTTGCGCTGACAGAGAAGGGAAAACCATATCTGTAAAACGAGTGCACAGGTGTGCCCTGGGGAGCGGCACCTAAAATTACATCAGAGGCTAGGAAATGAATGGTGAGAATTTTATGTACAGTCACTGATCTTTGAAGATGAAGCTGCTCAACTTACCTCTGATTCAGGTTCTTGAATATGTATGTCTTGTTTTGCCACCTTGCCCCAAGCATTCAAGATCTGAAAGAAAGTGACAATGGTATTATGAAATGAGGTGCTGTCGTTTTGACAGATTCAAGGTCCTGCTGGCCACAGATGAGCCCCATGCATGGAGTGAGAGGGCAGAGAAGTAGACATCCAGAATTATCAGTGTTAAGATCTAGTAAGACCAGATGCCAAAAGCACTACTGGACTCAGGAGGGACAGTGACTTGGCTTCCTCTTACCTCTCTAGCTGCCCGTTCTCCGGCTTCTACTGCTCCCTCCATATAACCGCTCCATTGTGTGGCTGTCTCCGTTCCAGCAAAGAAAATCCTGCCTACTCGTTGGCGAATCACCCTACAAGGGAACAGACAGGTCACGGAGTTACCAGAGAAGGCACTGAGGGTTAATGGGCCAATTGCTGCCCTCATTTACCCCACAGAAGACAGGGTAACTCAATTTATTTCAAAAACTCCTGTGAGACTCAGCCAAAGCCGAAAGGCTCCTCCTTGTTTCCCAGGCCTGCACCCAAGGTTCTGAACTTTCAAGCCAGAGAGAATCATGCTGTCAGATCATAAATCACCAAGGCGTTGTTGACCTTTACCTAGCCATCCAGAATTAGAATATAAGAACATGCATTAAATCCACAATCAGATGTATTTGCTGTATGTTTCCTATTTGTAGTCCATTCTGCTCCCTACACTGTCTTTTCAAAGGGGTGCATTCTTTCTGAGATCACATCTGATGGCAGACCCCAGCCATGGGCACTCTCAGGGTGTCAGAAGGAACTGTAGTAGTGAGTGGGAAGATAGGGAGATTAAATGATTTCTGGCAAAGGAGAGACCCGAGGGATTATATGTCTATCTCGTAGTCCCTGGATGTAAAGTACAGCATAAGGAATACAGTCAATGGTATTGTAATAGCTATGTATGGTGTCAGATGGGTAGTAGACTTGTTGGGGTTATCACTTTGTGAGGGGTGTAAATATCTAATCACTTTGTTGTTTTACACATCTGAAACTAATGAAAAAAAAAAACCAACCTGTGTACAGTTAGTGTCTATGAATTTATCTGGAGATTAGATGGGGGCAGGGAAATGGGCCTTCTCTTACCAAGAGGTGTTGGCAAATGGAACCATGGAAGGACTGGGCTGAATGGGAAACTCCCTGCCACACACCTTGTTGGCTTTGACGCCTACCACATCTGCAGCCACTTTCATGAAATCTCCTAAGCTGCACATCTCCACCCCAAAGGCCTTCACCTCAACCCAGTGACGCCTTTTTCCAATCCAGAACTCTTTGGCTTCATCTATTCTTGCTCCTACTCCCATCTTACAGACTTCTACTTTGACTTCGGAACTACTCCACTTCATCAAGCCTGTTATCACTCACAAAGGGTATTTGATTCAATTAACAAACAAAAACCCCACACAAATAAACAAACAAAAATCTTATGTAAGGAAAAGGTTAACAAATTCTTCCTTCTCTGTGGACAAATGTGACCTTGAGTTAACTTTCTAGCTCTGTCCCTTTGGAAACTGGATGAAGGTATAATGTCATGCGTGTTACCAGACAGTACTGCTTATGCTAAAAATGTCTCCCCAGCCTCACAATGGTAAATTTCATCGGGGCTGGAAGGAATGGCATGAATTGTAAATACCGAGGCGGGGACTGTCACTTTGGGCTTCGTTGAGTGTGGTGTCTCCTGTAACTGGGCATGGCCCTTGCAGGGACCTGGGACACTATGCCTATGAGGATGTTATAAGGGGCAATGGCTCCTATGGGGCATGCGGCTTCTAAGTCAAGGCAGACTCCCCCAGCCTGTGTGGTTATCGCCTCCTCACACCTTAGGTGCCTACAGTGGGGACACTTCCGCCTAAAGACGAACATATGATGGCTGCTCTGTCGGCAAGATGTGTTTAGCTCGTGTCCTTCTGCATAGACTGGGGCCCAGGAGCCTAGGGTAGTCATGTGAAACTAAATATCTAATTGAGCTCAAGAAGGCCCCTTGTAGGACACTGTAGCTTCTACAATTTTCACATGTACTGCTGATAACTGAAATCCTCACCAATGTTGTGCCATCATTCCATGTGCTGACAGCTATTGCTCTATGTACCTCCATACTTCTTTTCCTATGCATATCCAGAAATAAACCAACTGACTACCTGGGACATTAGAAATAGTAACGCTGGCTACTATTTCTAAAGTTCCCATTGAACTTTGCTTATCTTTTTAAGTTTGGTGCATGTCTTGTACTAATCGGGAGAGTGTCTGGGTAGTACCTTCCATATTGAGTCATGATCCCAGGGGGGAAGTAGGCCGTGTAGCAGCCTCCTGAGTACTGCTCTTCGCACCAGTTCTTTTCTTCATAGTGCACCGGCTGGAGTTCAGTGGGGAGACAATTCCAAAGGAAAGACAAAGGGGAAATGCTGCCAGTCAACAATGAATGTTCTTGTGTATTTTTTACTTCAACAAAAAGTTAACACTTGTTTGGTTTTTTTTAAAGATGGCCCTGTTTTTCTAATGCATTTAAGGGGAAACATGATAGTGCCAAGTAATGAATGGCCTTTTGTGAGGCACCCAGTGACAAAACATGTATACTTTGATTTTCTCAACCTCTTGACTAGGGGAGACATGAAGTAGTCTAATATATGGAAAGGAGGGCATCTTCACACAGATTCTGAAGACTTTAGACCTAAGTCCACAGGAAACCCGATCAACAATTGAGGTCTGGAAAGGTGTGTTCAAATCTCTGGATTCTCTAAATAACAGACTTTACTTCTCCATCTACCAGGGCATTACTGCTGATAAGCAGGGTGGAAGGGAGGAAGTAGAAGATAAGCACAGTATTTAAGAAAGACTTTTTCCAGAACACTTCTCTAAGCTAGAAAAATGAATGATAGGAATCCTGCTACAAAGGGGGAGAATTAAAGATAAAAATGTTTCTCAAGGGGCATGACAGAACCTTTTCTGATTTCTTGCCCTAACACATTTTGCAAGTTTATTATTTGAACAGTTCAGAGATAACCCCCTAAAACAGCCCCCAGCTATCTAGTAGGATCTTCAGAAAGAATTTCACTCTTATAATTGCTTTCAGTGGCGGATTGAAAGCACTGAAATTCCTAAATTAGCTGTGAATTAAGTCTACAAATGGAAAAATAAATGAGTATGACTTTGACCTGGGTAGAGAGTCTAGATTCAGTTATACTGTCAAGTATATACTACGGTGCTGTTGCCAACAAATGATGACATCTCTGGGATTTCATTTCACAGCAGGCAGTTGACACTGACAGGAGGGCAGGACCTCAGTTCTGGGAACTGTTCTCATCCACCCTGGAGGTAATACCTGCAGCTCCAGAGTCTGATTCCAATTGGCTGCCAGTCATCCAGTGAACATTTAAACGGCCCAAAGACCCAGTGCATCAGAAATTGCTTGTATCTGACAACAGCTTTCAGTGGCCTTTTGTGATCGCTGAAGTTAATCCTCCAGTAAGTATATCCCTTTATACTCTCTTCCTAAGACTGTCAGGGAACCAGAATCTGCTTTTCTTTACCATTTAGACTAGCACATAGAACAGAACCTGCTAGGTATTAAAACTGGGGGTTCTTACATGTAAAGCTTCTTCGGATCCCAGAACTTTGGAGTACAGCTCACAGATTTTCCTCTTTCTATAAAAAAAAGAACCAAAAAAATGTTAAGCAAGTAATTAACTGATGAGTATAGAATAAACACAGTGGGTTTCAGGCTCTTGCCAATGAACCAGATGTATCAAGGAAAAGTTAAAATCAGTGGCCTTCTACAACTACACAAAATGAACACTTCCATGAATGTCTGCACTCAAATTAAGTCTATGCCTCGATAATCATTTGATTTAAAGATTCAACAGCATTTTCCTTTTCTTTACATTTTTACCTCTTTTACTACCCAATACCATATCTATTCAAGATTAAAATGAGGAAAATATTTTAAATTAAATTCAGTCATTTTAGGAATTGATTCTAAGTCACCTTTCTGGAATATGTAGAATTCTAGAATAATCCCTTTTATAAGTCTATAGTATGTATGACGGTGTCTCTTAACCATCCTATATTTATGTTTTACAGATTCTATGAGCATATAAAGCTCATTTAATCTTTTAAGCATAACATAAAATATGCTATACCAGGAGAGGCCTATAATCGTTGCAGTCTAGTAATCTGCCACTTGAGAAAATGCTCTGTGGACACAGTATTCCAAAGGGCATCTGGGGCGTGGGCATGATGCTCTATGTGATGTTACCTTAAACACAGTCTCTGGTCACCCTCATAATTCCTTATGTAAATGACTAGCACAGAGCATGGTTGAATTTACCCACTGGTTTCTAAATCTGGCTGCTCATCATAATTATTTGAAATGCTTATTAAAAAACACAAATACTCAGGCCCCACCCATAATGTACCAAATAATAATCTACCAGCCTCAGAAAAATATATTTTCCAAACATTTTTTTAAATTTAAGTATGATTGTTATACAATATTATACTAGTTATAATAGTTTCAGGTGTATAGTATAGTGATTGGACATTTTTACAATGTGATTATCCCACCAATTCTAGTAATCATCTGTTAATGTGCAAACTAATAACAATAGTATTGACTATATTTCCTTTTACCTTTTCACCCATCCTCCCACCCCCTCCCCTCTAGCAAACATCCTTTTGGTCTCTATTTCTAAGTCTGTTTTTGTTTTGTTTTGTTTGTTCATTTGTTTCTTGTTTCCTCTTCTCTTTCTCCTTCTTCTTCTTCTTTGGGTTCCACATATAAGTGAAACCATAGGTATTTGTCTTTCTCTCTCTGGCTTATTTCACTTAACATAATACTTTCTAGGTCCATCCATGTTGTCTGTCTCAAATGGCAATATTGCATTATATTTTATTGCTGTGTACTATTCCATTACACACACACACACACACACACACACACACACACACACACAGAGCCCACATCAAAGATCCTTTGGGAGATTTTGATGCAGTCGGGTCTGAGAACTGTTGCTGCAGTCAATGACATATTCAGAGTTCTAAGGGTTTTGCTTTATAAAAACTTTTGAGAATTTCAGCCACCATGTGGAATCATAACCAAATGTCTACATCCAGGCTGGTATTTAGTTTACTATTAATAAAGAGGAAAAGCAGGAAATCCAAAAGAAAATGTCAAGCTTAGTGTGGTGTAATGAAAGAAAGTATGCATTAGATGCTATTACTGAATTTGTCACAAGCTAGCTGTGGAGCCTTGGCCAAATCATTCCCTGTCGCTGGACCCTAAATTCTTCCTCTATTGAGTAGGTGGACACAAAAATAGTCCCCTTCCTGACATCATATCTCATGGTAGCTCATATAAACAAATCTGTGTGCAAATGTGGGAACATCTATAGTCTATCCCTGACTTCCAAGGTCATCAAAATAACTCTCAAAGCAAGGGCTGCCAGTGGATTTGCTGTTTAATTTCTAAATTAAATGCAGAGGGAAGTATACATTGGTGTGTGTTATTATTGGTCCTCTTCAAAAGCTAACAAAGGATTTAGGGCTACCCTAAAGAAGGGAAGCCCAGAAATTCACAGAGGCAGTCCTCCAACAGCCAAATGACTATTTCCAGGTAAGATTTTATTTGAACAAATGATTCCAAGGCAAAACAAAACAAGAAAAATACAAAGTAGAAAGAGAGAAAAGGAGAAAGAAAGACAAAAGTCATTGTCCTAAAATTGTTTTATACTAGGAAGCTCTTGGGAGAAGGGGACATCAGAGCTGTGTCCTAGATAATCTAGGTAATTCCCCTAATATAAGGGAAATACTTTTACATACATAAGTTGAAACACAAGTGTATGGATTTGCTTTTCAGAAAAAGTACATTTCAGAGAACCTTGGAAAAGGGCTAATGGTCTTGCAAGGTGATTGGGACTCGGCCTCTAAAGCTTTTTTCACAGCTAATGTCTTCCATGATTTTCTCCATCCATCTTACTGAAAAACCCTACCTCTCAACCATTGTAAAATAAACACAAATATGTAAAACTAAATTAATATATGCATACAGACAAGGACTGAGTAGAGTGAGCTGTAGCAAAATACAAAATGGTTGATTTTGGGAGATTTTGAGAAGATTATTTAACTACTGTGCTTTTCATAATGCCATTATATTGTTGTTAGTGCAAAACACACAATATAAAGCTAACCTGTTATATATGTTTCAGAAGTAAATTCTTACCTTTCATCTTTATGGAGTTTAGACAGTTGGATAGCTTTTCGAGCAAGTATGAATCTGGTGAGAGAGGTTACATTTGAATGATTAGGTGATAGTGGTTTATCTTTTTTTTAATTAAAATTTATTGGGGTGACAATGGTTAGTAAAGTTACATAGGTTTCAAGTGTACAATTCTGTAATACATCATCTATATATCACATAGTGTGCTCACCACCCAGAGTCAGTTCTCCTTCCATCACCGTATATTGAATCCCGTTTACCCTCATCTACCTCCGCCTCCCCTCTTACCCTCTGGTAACCACTAAACTGTTGTCTGTGTCTATGAGTTTTTGTTTATTTGTTTGTCTTGTTCCTTTGTTGCTTTCAGTTTTATGTCTCACATATCAGTGAAATCATATGGTTCTCGACTTTTTCTGTCTGACTTATTTCGCTTAGAATAATAACCTCAAGATCCATCCATTTTGCGCAACTTTATCTTGAGTTGCCTCTTTTTGAAGTGTTCTTCACCCACCTGCTCAGCATTAAAATTGCCCATACCCTCTCATTATTTCCCTTCACTAGAGCAAAAGCCATGCTGTCTTCGGTCTACCTCTATGTCCAAAACCCCTGTTAGGCTGTAGGCACCTAAATGAAAGGTGACCTCCTACTCAATATTTTACCCCCAAAGTTTAGCACAGTTATTGGCATATAGTAGGAAATCAAATATCAGATGAATTAATGTTGCATTAAGTGATTATACTGGTAATGACTGTTGCCTTCTGCCAAAGGCAACAGTCATTACCAGGATATTCATTTTATATTTGATAAAAGCTGAAAAAGCAAATATAAATAAGTGCTTGTAGTAGATGCCATGATGTGCCACCCTGATCCCTCTTCAGAACCAAGCACTCATTACCCTCAGCTCGTAGCTGAACCCTTCCCCAGGAATCGCACTCTGCAGCAGAGAACAGTGTGACTCAAGGTCCCCCACCCATCCCCACAATGACTGGCGGTGGGTACCAAGGTCCACTCCCTTGCCTCAGTGCAAGGTACCGCTGAAGGACCATCCAGCTGGAGAGTTCACTGTGCGAAGGCTTAGGCCTACACTGGACAGCATTGGAGCCCAACCTCTTCCTCTGCCTAATCCTGATCCCTTCCCTTCCCCATAGGTAGTGATGCCCAGAGCACTTCCCAGTGCACCTCCTGTACCCAAATCTCCATCTCTGAGTTGGCTTCCTGGGAAACTGGCCTAGCACAGTTCCCAAATTTATAACTCAGTAAAATTCAGTTATATTCTGTCTGCTTCCCTTTAATCAAATAGATTCTATTTATTATACTGATACTACTAATAGCATATATATTTTAAAGAATTAATTAGTGACAAGAACTCCTCAGTTATATTAAACTATTATTAGAAAGCTTTCAAAAATCCAAATAAGCTAAGGGACAATGAAATTATTTCTCCATTTAAAAAAAAGTTTAAAAATTGTATTTCTTTTGTTCTGGACAAAAAAGACAAGTAGATCAGGACTGAAAATGCAGGCAGTGAAAACAGATATTTCATTCTCTCTCTCACTCCCAAATTAAACTGTTTATCAATTTGATTGGCAATTCCTTTAGAGCTGTTATTCGAGATCATTCTGGGAAGCAGAGATACGAAACATATTTGTGTTAATCAACAGAATAATATTTCAGAGGAAGTCGTGGATTGTTTAAAAAATTTGGACTATTCAACTTTATGGGACTTAGTCATAATTTTGTGTGCTATAACACCTTGTTATGGCTTGCTAATAATGATTTTAACTAAATTTTAGGTTTATGTGAGAATCAGTCATCTTAGGCTTATGCAGTATTTCAATGAAAATCACCAGTATCTGATGAAAGAGTAAATTATTTATCTGAAAACCTTTTTAGAGATTGGGTGCTTTTTGCAGTTCCTTTTCTAAAGGGCAGTGAGTGTTGGCTATTTCTGTCAAATCTCAAGTCAAGAATGAAATAACCTCTTTGATCTAATTCTAACTATGGATAACTGTCCTTTAAGTTTACTTGGTGTTTTATTGAGGAAATCAAACATGCTGGCTTTGGGTTGGGAACATTTCGCAGCTCTCAAGTACAAGTTCCTTTCTAGTTTCCAAAAGGCAGTTAGTTATAGTTATCACAAACAGAGCTGGGCAATTAATATCCCTATCTTCAAGGCTTTCCTTGCCCAGAGCAAAGACCAGGGTGGAGGCAATATAGTTTCAAGGCAAGAACAGGGTGGAGGCAATTGTCCACATAACACTGATGAGGATATCACCTTTTAGATACTGCCTAAATAACCCCATAACCATCTGGAAGGCTTCTGCCATACTTGTCCTGTTGAAAAAGCTAAAGAAAGCCAAGAAGGGCAAATGCCACAATATCTAACTCTCAGAGCAAGAAGAACACCAGAGTTCTTCCATCCACAGTTGGATTGGTCTTGACTAGTCTCCTAAAAATTCTACCTCAATTTCCTGCTTTCTTTTGGCATATCTTATAGAAGGTGATGGCAAACTGCACAATCTGTACCCTTTTCTGCCCAGAGAGGTTAGAGATGAGCAGATTTATTGTTCCTGTGGTCATTATGTTGTGAGCACCTGCCCTTCCCAGGGAGGCTGGTGCTGTTTCTTATATTTTACAGCCAGAGAAGTGGTTACAAAATGTTTTGTTGGCAGTCTGGTAGCACAGCCTGTTTTCTAAGTCCGTTAGGTCATAGGTCTGCTCCTTTTGATTTTGTAATTTCCCTTCAATGATGCAATGCGCATGAGCTCAACTCTCCCAGGGGTGAAGAAGGGAACCACTGGTCTCTGAAAGTCACTTGGCTGCTATAGAAACTGTGCTCTTCTGTTGCCATGTGGTAGAATAAATAGCCCTTTTGTTTGTATAGCTTTGAGGAGGGCTAAAAGGCACGGCAACTGGGAGGCTGCAGCACTCCTTAGAAATTCCTTTGTGGGGGTCCCACATCCTTCTGTGGATCCCTAATCCCCTAAGGGAAGAACAGTTGTGTGCCGGATTAGGAGGAGAGGAAAAGTGCTCCCCCTTTCCAGACACAGAACCTCATCCTGGACCATCCCTGGTAAAGGACAGCCACAAAGTGACCTACTGGAAAAAATGTCATCCACTTGAGGCCTGGCTCTGCTTCACACTGCACTTCCTAACTGGTCATCCATCTTCTATCCCAGGGTAACAATTAACATATTAATATTTGCTATGTAGTGATGTTTGGAATGGAGAAAAAGATAAAGCCCAGAAACCCTAACTTTGGAAGGTTTTACAGGATAAAACAGTTCTCGCTCCAGAAGGGTTGTGGACATTCTACCCCTAGGCAGGGTTGTCTACCATAATACCTATCTAGGTTCTTCTTTTGCTGCCCTTAACATGTAAATTTTATGAGAGAAAGAAATATATGGGCACAAGTTCAAAACGGTGTCAAGGTTAGTAGAGCTTCCCAGGGTTCTTGTGTCACATACAAAACATTAAAATTTTAATACATGGAAACATATTTTTCTGTATGGTTATTTGTTACTGCTTGAGCTCAATTCAAAAACAATACTCTCTGCCAGCATCTATACCAATACACCAATACAATTTGGAAAATGAAAAACTCCCAGTTCTAGCTTACCCCATGATAGCGGGCAACGAACCATCTGGCTTGGTGTCATCCAGGGTTATTGAAATTGGGGCTTCCTCATCTTCAATGATCATACAGCCACAGTAATCTTAACCAGGAGAAAATCAATGGGAAATTGAGACAGACTTCATTAGAGATTTAGGTGGAAAATCATACATCTATAAAACTATTTTGCTAAGAGGAAGGCAAAGCTTAAACCCAATCCTAGAAGCTATTTCCTATTGATATACACATTGACTATACAAGATGTCTTTTCACCCAGACACATGGGAAATGATGCTTTTCAACGACCCTTACATAATGGTCATGTATGACCAATACATGGCTAAAACTATAAGATGGCCCTGGAGTCCTGAAATACATAAGGAAAGAGAGGGATGTGTTAGAGGGAATCACCCCTATGAACCCACAGAAGAAATATTTTGAGTATGAGCAAGAGACTTATCAACAACAGCCACCATACCTGCCCAGACCCTGCCTCATTTAATCCTCAAAATACCCCAGCAGTAGGTCTCTTTGTTACCATTTGACACAGATATGCTGAGAAAGGTAAAGTGTCACATCACAGGCCACACAGCTAGTAAGCAAATGACTTCGAAGCAGTACTTTTTCCATGGTGCCCCTTTGTCTCAATCTGCTCATGAAGAGTAAGTAGCAGGACATATGCCAGGAGCCAGGATAATGGTGGCCCTGCAACTGGTGGGATCTGTTCCTTCCCTTTCACTGCCAGCAAGTGCTCTTGAGGTCATTTTGTGTTGTGAGGGGCTATAAGGAGGTGGATAGACTGAGATTTCTGATCCTTTCATTACCAATTTGAAAGCGCTTATATTTTATTCTGTTCAGTGTCTAGTATAATGTTCCTTAAGAAAAGTGTGGTTCCTTCACTTAATACAATTTAAACATGAGTATATGCAACCTACCCTTCTTCTTCCAAAAGGCCTCCTTGTAATACATCATGCATTTAATGATAGCACCCATTGGAAGACGTTGGATTAACTGGTTTCTTTCAGGTGGCAGCTCTGGTTTGAAGTGGATCTTGGTCGTCAAAGTTGGAGGGATGGCACAAATTACATATCTGCACTGAAACACACGAACATAAAATACCACCTCAAGTGTGAGTCACTGTATTTGCAGAGGGCATGAGACATCATATTTGTCATTTTGAATGGCACCGAGCCGTACCAACATACAAAATGAGGTCACTGTGAGGCAACAAAACAATAAGGCAGGTCAACCAAGGCTGAAGATTTGGAAGAGTGAGTTGGAAACATGCCAGCATTAATTATGCCCCTGCTTGGATTATACGTGGTTAGAAATTGCAGAAGACACAAGGCCTATTTGATATATATTCCTTTTGACTAAACTTAATTACCTCATAAACTTCATGATTCAATGTCTCTATGATGATGTTGTCACCTGACTGGTCAACATAGGTGACAGGACTCTTCAGCTTCACTCTGTCTCCGAGGAGGCTCATTATACGTTCACTCACTTGACCAGATCCACCTACAAACTTCCTTTCCTACAGGAGAAAGCAAGCAGGAAACATTATAAAAGCCCAAGGAACAAATATCATATTTGCTACTGATGAAAAAACCTCCAGAAAGTCACAGGCCATATCTCTACCCTCTGCACACTTAACCGTTGGAAGAACTCTAGGACAGAGGCAAAGTCTACCAAGGGACCTTGACCATTATGCTCTGCACAGTTTCTGGCAAAGATAAGTCATTACTAGTTTATAAAGTGACAGAATCAGAAGAAATGTTCCCCTATACCAGTGTTCCCTTGACTGAATGCCAATATTACCAAAGCTTCAAATGCCTAAGGGTGAAGTGCGTGCAGGGAGCCCTGGGAAACAGAAGGTGCTGTACTTCTCTCCCAGGGGATGTGGGGTTTTTTTTAATTAATTATTTTTTTTCTAGTTGTATTAAAATGGGGATACAGTTCCTAACTCTGCTTGGATTCTTAAAACTCCAGCTAATGGGTTCCAGGCAGATTAAAATGTTCTCTAAGAGAACAGTCTCAGGGTGCTTTCAGAAATCATCTGGTCATCAGTAAATGGTGTTCTAAGGATCTAAATCTCAGATACTTTTATAATTTTGACAAAACTGTCTGGAAGTTTCAATGTGGGGGCAGAAGGCTGAAAGCCAAGCACGTGCTAATTCCTCTAGACATTGTTAAATAATTTGCTTGAGCAACCCTATAAGACCATGAACACTCTGTCCCTTGCAATCTGCTGTATTCACCATGGAAATGGTTCTGACTTAATCTAAGAAGGTAAGTCCTTAATACAATACACTGTATCAGAACCAGGGGATATATTTAGCCCATTGTATAAGATTCTCTAAATGGATAGAAATACACGTAGGTAGACCGAGGCACAGCCCAATATTTGACAGTTAGGTACCTTAATCATGCTCCTTCAGAAAACCTTGCACAAGCAGCCATGCAGTGATTTTTATGCTTTTATAACTGGCTATTATTCTAATGACACTGCCAAAGTTCTTTATAAAAATAGTATCATACTAGTTCAGACCTACATTCATGATCTGTCTTTCCTCAAGAAACTGGGACCATTTAATTTATAATGTGACCTCTGTTTCCCAAGACTTACTTTTAATTTTACTATAGTAGAGAGACCATGGACTATTTCCATCCTCTTCACTGTCCACCCTTCCATGTCTAGTATTTATTGAATTAAATTATTAAAGGATAAATCTAAGTTCTTTACAAAGATATTATGATAATTGTTTGATAGTCATAATCTGACCTGTGCTTTCCAAAAGGTTGTGTAGGGTTTGGCTAGAAGTATCTTGGCTTCTCTGAATGAGGGATATAAATATAAAATATGAAGCAAGATACCGCAGAGAGTAGAATACAGGTTAAAAAGAGTAATATGTGATTTCTGCCCATAAGTAAAGACACAAAAAATGCAACTGTCCTACATGTGCTAAAGCCAAGGGTTAAATGGGCAATAACTCTTGGGGCCACAAGAACAACTTGGGGACTAACGGAGATCTCCTAGTGGTATGGGGATGGGCAAATGCTAGTTGGCAGCAAAAATTTACAGTCCAAAATGTAAAGTTTACTATTGAAATCGTGGCCATAAATTACTATGTGAATTAGAGGTAAGAAGAGTCACTTCCATTCTCTAACAGTTAACATAAAAAAACAAAAAACTGAGACACAGAATGGGACAAAAAAGTCTTACGTCTGGAACAGAGGATGACTAAGTACAATAATTTTACAAGTACAGTAGTCACCTCCCTATCTGCGGGGGATATGTTCCAAGACCCCCAGTGGATACGTGAAACTTCAGACAGTACCAAACCCTATACAGAGGGTGTCAAAAAAAGTATACACATTTTAAGAAAGGAAAAAAATTGCATTAAAATTACACTGAGTTAACCACTTTGAGAACCTCTTGTAACTGCAGACGTCAAACATGACTTGTAAGCATGTTTTGTTATCGGTATGTATTCAGTATTACAATTCTAATACAGTTTTTTTCCTTTTTAAAATGTGTATACATTTTTTTGGCACCCTGTGTATATACTATGTTTTTTTTCCTTTCTTTTTTTTTTTAATTTTTATTGGGGAATTGGGGGGATGGGAACAGCGCTGGGGAATTGGGGGAAGGGGAACAGACAAATTGTTGTCCTTTTGTTCTTCAGTCTAGTTGTGGAGGATGTTGCTTCACTTGCCCAAGTTGGCACCATCATTGCGCTCTTCCCGGGCGAGGCAGATCAG